GGTCGAGGGTCCATATCGACTACGCTGGGCCCTTTCAGGGGCAATTCTTCTTAATTCTCGTGGACAGCCATTCCAAGTGGCTAGAGGTCATGCCTGTCTCCTCCACTACCACTGCTAGGACCATCCAGGTGCTGAGAGGGATCTTCGCCGCACATGGACTTCCAGATGTCCTTGTCTCCGACAACGGGCCCCAATTCACGTTGTTTGAGTTCAAGGCGTTCCTCCAGGCCAACATGATCCGGCATGCCACATCTGCACCATTCCATCCAGCTTCCAACGGCCAGGCTGAACGAATGGTTCGCACAACCAAGGATGCCTTAAAGAGGATCACGCACGGGACCTGGCATCACAGGTTAGCGGACTTTCTTCTTTGCCACCGCACCACACCTTGCACAGCTACTGGAAAGAGCCCAGCTGAACTCTGCTGGGGTCGTCGCCTCATCACGAAACTGGACAGATTGTACCCAGACCGGGTGGCTTCACAGGTGTCACAGCCGCGGGCACCTAGGAGACTACAAGTGGGAGATCCGGTCTGGGCAAGGAACTATGGACCAGGACATCTCTGGGTCACAGCAGTGGTATGCAAGGTCTCTGGGCCGCTGTCATACGAAGTGGCCTTGGACGATGGTCGTGTGATCCGACGTCACATTGACCAACTGCGCTGGAGGCTTCCCAGCAACTCTTCCGCTCCTAGCTCTGCTCTCGGGGGGGAGGAGGACCACAATTACGATTGTGGACCACAGTCTCTCCAACATCCCCAGGCTTCAGCTATTGCTCCAAACAGGGAGTCCGCAGAAAGGGGGTTCACCATGGAGGCAGCTTCGGCCTCTGGCACTCAGGCCACTCCAGCTGCTGGTCTAGGGCTCGAGGGACAGGGCTCCCAAGAGGAGTCCATTGGGGACTTGGGGCATTCCACCCCACCACTGGACTTGGGGAATTCCACCCCCCCAAGGAACCCTGGCTTGGATTTAGCAGATCCAGCCAGTCAGCAGCTGGGTGGGTCCCCTGGGTCTTTGGGGCAACAAAGTCCTGGTCTGCCTAGCCTGGCAGGCAAGCTGGCAGGCCAGGCACACACACTGGCCATGAGAAGATCAGGGTGGGCCAGAGGTCCTCCCAAATACTTACAAGACTATGTATGGTCCTTGTCAGTTCATGGGCAGGCCTAGTAGTCTGGGTTAAGTAATGCAGCTCAAGGGGAGTGGGGAGCATGGCGGTAGCAAGACTATAGTGTTGTGTATATATAGATGCAACGTAAGCAATGTAATGGAGTGTTGGAGTATTTAAAATAATAAGTGTGCCTTATTATTTTAGCCAAGGGGGGAGGGGTGTTATGTCCTGGGCCAGTAGGCACAGGCTGCAGCAATTGGCCCGGACAGACCATGTGGATGCCCGGGACAAGAAAGGCTGCTCCCAGCCTTTGCAATGATTGGCCAGCAAGGTATTCTGGGCCAGCAGGCACAGGCTGCAGCGATTGGCCCGAGCAGACCATGTGGATGCCCGGCACAAGAAAGGCTGCTCCCAGCCTTTGCAATGATTGGCCAGCAAGGTATTCTGGGCCAGCAGGCACAGGCTGCAGCGATTGGCCCGGGCAGACCACGTGGATGCCCGGGACAAGAAAGGCTGCTCCCAGCCTTTGCAATGATTGGCCAGCAAGGTATTGTGCAGGGGGGCTATAAAAGGGGGCCGCACCATTTTAAAATCTGTTCTGTTGGTGTTGCAATAAAGGAGAACTGTTGGAACTCGTTGCTTCGTCTCAATGCCTCTTTTCCTGAAACAGAACAATTCACATAACAGAGGGGACTGTCTAGGACACCAAAATCGTCTGAGTTCTAGAATGTTCTGAACTAGATTGTATAAGCACATGACCACCCTAGCATGTGAATGCATTGATCACCTCTCAAAAACCCAAAATAACTGGCCAGCAATGTGTTCGTTTAAATATCTTGTTGCAGAATTTAGAGCTTTGGTCGTGGAAGTAAAGGGGTGGGAGAGAGGAACCTTGAAATAGCTGATCAGGGCAGCCATCTTTTTCAGGTGGCTCAGTTGCATTCCTTTCCTCCACAAAACCAAACACAACCCTCCCAATATTGACATTTTTTTAATCCCATTCATCCCCAGTATCTTATGCAAAGACAGTGAAATTGCATGACAGGTAGTCCTCGACTTACAACAGTTCATTTAGTGATCATTCAAAGTTACAATGCCACTGAACAAAGTGACTTATGACCATTTTTCACACTTACGACCATTGCAGCATCCCCATAGTCAAGTAATCAAAATTTGGATGCTCGGCAACTGACTCACATTTGTGACGGTTGCAGTGTCCCAGGGTCACGTGATCCCCTTTTGTGACCTTCTTACAAAGTCAGCAGCGAAGCCCGATTCACTTAACAACTGTGTTACTAATTGAACAACTGCGGGGATTCACTTAGCAACTGTGGCAAGAAAAGTTGTAAAATGGGGCAAAACTCACTTAACGAACGTCTACCTTAGCAACATACATTTTGGGCTCAATTGTGGTCGGGAGTTGAGGACTACCTGTAGATTGCAGCTTTCATTCATCGGTTGATATGGAAAAACACCAACATTTTGGGAGTTTCTTTTTTCTCATAAGATTTCAGCCTTTTTAAATTTGTATTTATTTTGGGGAGTCTGCCAATACTGTCTAGGAGTGTGGCAGACCATGAATCATTGGCTCACATCTGAAGAAACTGTGTCTACTTCCTTAACATCACTTTTCTTCCATTCTTCCTCTTTTTCTTCCAACCCAGGCATTACTTCAAACGAGTTATAGTGGCTGCCCGATCCAAGAATGCCCATCTGGTGCTGAAATGCTTTAAGGACATCCCTCTGGAAGGTCTGGAGCAGCTGCTGCCCTTGGTCAAAGTCCGCACCTCCATCTTCCACATAGCTCTGCTCAACACCATGCTGGTTGTGAGCAGCTTGGCCCTCTTTGTAAATGTGGGCATGGTGGTGCTCTCTGACCTCAAGATAGGCACCACCACCCTGCTCTTCTTCTTTGCTGCCTTGATGGCCTTCCGGGCTTGGACGGTAGGTCCATCTCCAGTGTTTCCAGAAACTCAGAGCCGTGAGCCAATAAATATCCTGCTCAGACCTTCAAATTAATTAAACATAGCAATATAATGTTTTAATAACTTTCCCCTTTTGGTAACACAAACGGTTATAATTCATAGGCAATTCATGAAGGAGCTCTTGGGGGCTCTGGACTAGGGAGATGGAGAGACATGATTATCTTTGTAGGAGCAAGCTTAATTTAATTGAGGTTCTTTTAGGGCAGGAAGCAGGCTTGGCCTCTATCCCATACAGCTGTCAAGAGCTTTATGGAAGAACACATGTCTTCTGCTCAGAGAAATCTCATGTGGTACGGCTGGAAAAAAAAGCTCTTTTTCAGTACATGGAGAGCTGCTGTCACAGAGACAGCTCTGAGAGAGGAGATCTTTAACTTCCTGTAGAAGGAAGATTTATGTCTTCCTGCAGACATTTTGGCTTTCTTTGAATAAATGTATCCGGGAAGGGAGTCCAGACCTTGGTATCAAGGTTTGCTTGGGATGAAAACACATAGCTGCGAAACACTTTTGATGCAGAGGTAGGTAACTGTTTGAGGGCTTAAGCTGCACTTAACTTTTGGGGTTGAGAAAAGTTGCATTGTGATAAATGCAAAGGAGACAGCGTCATGCCTTGCTTAGGACTGGGATTTCCCTGTTTGCTTTTGCTTGTTTGTTTTTACAGGACTTTCTTGCAAGAAGCAGCAGGCTGAGGTTTCTCTGTGTCTTAAATTGGTTAGGGTTTGTAATAATTTCTGTGGTTCCTGCTTCACTGGCAGGAAACGATGCCAGCAATTTTCTCCATTCTTGTCCCTTAACTTCAGCAGTAAAGAGAGGCTGCTCAAAGGGAGTGTGTGTTGGCCACCGGGACCCAACTGTAAGGCACTTCCATATTGGAAATGTTGATAAACATTTTACTAGTGTGAGATGTAAAAACCCCAAATTTTGATACTCACAATACAAAGACAAGTCTGGTTAACAAAACAAAGTTTTATTGGAGAAAAACATCAAAATAATAATAAGAAAAGAAAAGAAAGGCGTTTGCAAACGCGGCCTCCTGGACCCTTCCCAAAGTGGATTGGGTTCCAAGAGCGCAAAGAGCAGATTTCAAGCTTTGTATTTTATATTTTTTACAATGCATGTCACATCTAAGAAGCTCTTTCAACTCCATAGTCATTCTTTGAAGTTGTTTTTACACTTAAAAGGTCATCCTGACAGTTCCATCCATCTGCTGTTATCTTGTTTATTTGTAATTTTCACCTTGGGTCAAAATTCCCCTGTTTGATAGTGATTTTTACTCAAGGTGCAAGTTCCTGTCTCCGGAGGAATTTTTAGGCAGGAAACAGTAAACAGTAAACAGACCTTCTCACACATTTGGCAGTGCATTGCTACATTAGCGTTACATTAATACATTTGTTCTAAACATACAAGTCTCATATATTGTTACATTAGAGCTTTATTGTTACATTTTATAAAAGAATAACTTTTATTTCCTTCAATTCCACCCTTTCTCTCTTCCAACTTGGGAGTCCTCCTGGATTCACGGCTGACCTTGGATGACCATCTGTCGGCCGTGACCAGGGGGGCGTTTTATCAGGTTCGCCTGATTCACCAGTTGCGGCCTTTTCTGGACCGGGACGCCTTACACACAGTCACTCATGCTCTTGTCACCTCCCGCCTGGACTACTGTAATGCTCTCTACATGGGGCTCCCTTTG